AACACTAACAATAGACAAGGTCATTGCAGGTTGTGAAAAGTGTTATGATGGAAATAAATGGAATGATGACAAGAATAACTACCTACAAATAGAGATGCCATCTAGTTCAGAATAGAGAAGCCTATTTTCATAGGTGAGAGAAAATTTTTCTGCATATGGAATGGTCAAGTTGAAGAATAAAGACCTGAAGAATAAAAAATGAACCACTCATGCAAAGAACTATAGGAAGTTCCTTTAAGGCAGATGCAACAGCAAGGCACAAGATGTGAAGCTAAGTGTGATCTAGGTGTTTTTGGAAAACTAGAAGGAAGTTAGTATGACTGTGGCATACTAAATAGTGAAAGTTGATTGAGATAAGCTTGAAGAGAAGCAGATCATGACAGCTCTTTTAAACCTTGGTAAGAAGTTCAGGTTTTTTGTTTTTTGTTTTTTGTTTTTAAAAAACCCAAGTGAGAAGCTATGGAAAGGTTTAAAGCAAAAGATGAATTGACAAGAATCTCTGATGGGAATTCCCTGATGGAAATCACTCTATCTTTCAAACTTTGTTTAATAATGTATCATTAACTATTCTTAGGTCTGAAATAAATTCCCAGAAAAAAAAGGTAGAACAAAATTAATTTGAATTGCAAAGGCACGTGATGTTCCAAGACAATTCAGTTGAGAGAAAAACTGTTTTTCACCAAATGGTTCTGGAATAATCAAATATCCACATGCCAAACAAAACAAAAACCAGTAGGCCTTTTCCTTATACTATGGCACAAAAATTAACTCGAAATGGGTCATTGACCTAAATATAAGAGCTCAGGCAACTCTTTCTGCCCACTTGTGTCTATGCAAGTGTACTTTACTCTTCTTAATAAACCTGCTCCTTCAAATATTAAAAAGAAGAGCTCAAACTATAATGTCTTGGAAGAAAACAGAAGTAAATATTGAAGACCTTGGGATATGCAAAAGATTTTTAGACAAGTGGCAAAAGAAAATTTTTTTTTTATATTTTAATAGCAATCAAAAAGATAAACTCATGCCATTTTTGGAAACTCAGAACTGGAAGGGATTTTGCTGAGTTAAATAAGGCAGAAGAAGAGAGACAAATACTTTATCATGTCTTTTATATGTGGAATAGAGAAATCCATTGAAAGGGAGATAAAGCCAAACTCAAAAACTAGCCTTTGAAAGCCAACTGTAAAATTAAAGCATTCAGAGTGAGGGGGGGAAGGGGTGGGACAAGCTAAAAGTGGGGAGGGAGCACAATGACCTATAATGGTGGACTATGGGTACTTTGTTGGTGGGAGTAATATGGTAACAACACCTGAATTGGGGAGATCCTATACTTCCAAAATACAGACAATGATGTTAAGGCTTTGGGAGGAAGGGGATATGGGGACTTTTTTTATTTACAATATTTGAATGTTTTTGGAAATGATCCAATCAAGAGAGAAAAATTGACAGTATAAATGAAAAAGGGAACATTTTCAGAAGACAGAGCCTTGAATAAGTGAGTACAGGAGCATCAGATACAAATGAAGACCTGGCCTCAGATAGGGACACCTTTTCCTTCTAAAATGAAGGCAGAATATGTGGGTACATAAGTAGGTATGCTGGCAGGCTGGGTGTTGGGAAGAGATCAATCTTTTTTTTTATTTTTTTCCAAAATGTTGACAATCAAAAACAACCTTTGTTGTTGTTGTTTTTTTTCTTTTTTTTTTTCCTTCTGGCTTGACTATTTTTTTCTTTTTCTTTTTTAATTTTTTACATCATTGTTCATTTTGTTGTTGTTGTCGTTTTTGTTTTTTGTTTTAAGATTTTATTTATTTATTTACACAAGCACTGGGTACATTCAGAAGTGTGGGAGGGTGAGAGGATTCACCAGAGCCAGAGCAGGGAACAGAACAGGCAGACCAACGAAATACGCTGCTGAGGGGAGCAGCGGGCAGCAGGAGAGGTCTGCGCGCCATGTGGGACCCTCGCCCGGCATCCGGGGATGGAACCGGCGCTGCAAAGGCTGCAGACAGCTTCGCAACCCAGCGCTCAACTGCTGTGCCACCGGGGAGGCCCATCATTGTTCATTTTTAAACAATATTTGCTTCCCCCCACCCCCTCAGGTGTAGTCTCCATAGAGTTTCCTTCACCAGTGCACCCGTGCATCATCACCTCAGTTCCCTGTGCTCCTCCCTCCCTCCTTCCCTAGATGAATCTTTTTTGATTGCTACTATGAATATTAAAAAAAAGTGAAGTATGAGACAAGGATATTAACTTGAAAATGAAGAAGTAGAAGTTTGTAGGTAGAGAAATGAGTAAATCATCTTGCAGAGTAATAACTACTGTCTCAATTACATACATTTATGCATTTTATGTTTCTCACCAGTGTCTGCATTTTTATTTTTACATTACCCATCAGTGTTTACCAATAGTTAAAAACTTACATCAGCACTTACAATGATGCCTAAATTGAATGGTTGGTAACATCATGTAGTAGTGTCAGCTAATACATGGATATTTGAGTTCAATACAATTGTGAAGTGCTGATATAAGGGCATTTATGAATTCCTTCTTATAGCAGTATAGCAACAAAGGTCTAACATTGCAAAGCTTACAAAATACAAGTCTCATATTTATAAATTAAAGAAAAAATAGAATCATTACAATAGATGAAGCAAAGAAAGTATTTCTTAATATTTAATATCCATATATTGACTGTCATACTTAATGGTGGAACTTGAAATATCATAAAATCACTGTTCACCACTCCAGTCCAATATATACTTAGCATTCTACACAGTACAAACAAGAGAAATAATCTGTCGATAACTAACTAGAATTTGTGAGCGCTCAGCAAAATGCTAAATATAAGGTTAATATAAAATATAGCTAGCAGCAAGCAGTTAGAAAACTTTCTAAAATACAATTACAACAAAATTAAGTCCCTAAGATTAATTCTAATAAAATGCTTGCAAAAAAATTAACTGTATCAGTTTATTAACAAAGGCCTAATTAAGTGGAGAGCAGTTATATTCATGGATAGGAAGATTAATATCAAAAAAATTGAATTCTCTCTGGAGTCCATAAATTCAGTACAATTTCAGTCAAAAACCCTACATATCTTTCATAGAACTTGAATGGTGAAAAAAAATTATTGCTATTAAAATTTAAGTGAAAGATCAATGGGTTAAAATCAAGACAATTTTAAAGAATAAATTATTAGGGTTGGGGAATAGTAGGTGAATGAAAGAGAACTTACCCAATCTGATCTCTTAGCTCATTGCTTCAGGAATGTAAACTGACAAAAACACTTTGAAGCACAGGGAGTTTATTAAAGCATTTTCTGTAACAAAAAAAAAAGAGAAAAATAAAACCCACAAAAATTTATGAGTAGGAAAATGGTGAAATTAAGTTGTACTACGTCATGTTAAGAAGTTTCAAAGAATACATGCAGTGCTATACTGCCTGTTTAAAGTTTTTAAAAATGCAATAAATATATCACTTGGGGATACATACAAATAGAACAGAAATATAAAGAAATGCATGGAAATGATAAGCAAATTAAGGCCAGTGGTTAGATCTGCTCAAGAATAGAAGGGTATATGGGTATAAGGAACCTCAATTATAGATATTTGGTTTCTGTATTACATAGCTGGCTTCTGTTTCTTAAAGTAGTTGGTGCATACATGGCTGGCTATTCGTTGTATCTTTTAATATCTTTTTTATATATTTAAATATTACCTAATCGAACTTTAAAAAGACAACAGAAATTTGTGAGAACTCTTCGGTATAAGTCTAGTACCTTCTAAGCTTTATACACATTTTCTCATTTAATCTTAGCCCTTGAAGAAGTTTTCCCCCTTTTGTATAACAAGAAACTGAGACCTTTAGAAATCAAATATCTGCCTAAATATCTCTTAGGGGACAGAGCCAAGATGTGAAAGTAGAGCAGTCTCACTTTTAAAAACTCACATTCTTAGCCTCTGTGAAAGTTAATCGCCCTCTTTTTACAAGTTTGTATTAAGCCCAAGAAGTCCCAAGTTAGTGCAACTGTCATTTTGACCTCTGGATGCAGATAGAACAACAACAGAACTGAACCACTTTGGCCTCTATATCCAGTGACTTTCCGAGGCTAGAACATTCTCTCAGGTGCACAGCGCATGAGTCATTTCCTTTAGTATCTGTTTATTCGTTCAACAAATATTTATCAATAGCATACATAGCACAGTGGTAAACCACAATTTATTTCTTGTCTGCCACATTTTTGCAGTTTGCCAAGCTTTGGGACGCAAATTTTAGATTTCCATTTTCATGTCCAACTAATGAAAGAAATACCGTATTTAATTATAGGCTATTTTAGAACTTGCAATATGACTTACTGTGGATCTCATTTAAGCCTAGCTACTGTTGACCTGCAAATTCACATGACAGTGAGATATTTTAGCCACTTTTTACTAAACAAAGTTTATATTGTAATTTTTAGTCTGCTTTTGCCCAAAGTACAGATTGAAATGAAAATATTGTTTCAAAAATATAACCACCTCCTTTTTCTATGTATTCTTTCCTTCATTCCCACGGGTCAAAAAATATCTTCTTAATCCTCTACTCCAATGTGATTTTTAGGTTCTATGTCATGGTTAGAGTTTATATTCCTATACAATCAAGACATTCACCCACAGTAACTCATTGAACTGTTGAAATGTATTCATTAAGTTTACTTTTTTACACTCTCTAATTAAAATGGGTATACTGAAAACAAATAATTTTCTTCCCAAAACAAAGAACAGTTAATTATGTCTATCTTGGCTAGTGTTGTACATGTGAACTTTACTCATTAATAACAGCTGCTTCTATGAATCATCATGACTTCTTCTTAAATAAGTATACAAACATATAATGTTTCTGAAAAGTAACTATCATTTACTTAATGTTCAATTCAGTGATTATGTGTTATAAGTATTCAAACATTCCATCTAGTCTTTCTTGAACAATTTATTTCCTTTTGTTTATTGACTATTTAGGGACCTGAAGGAATTGTGGGAGTTCCTGGACAAAGAGGTCGTCCAGGAAAAAAGGTTAATTTTTCTTAAACCTTTTCATGCTGGTTTTCTTTGTTTTGATGTACCTAGGGTTCTATAGAAAGCTGCAATATTTTTATTTGCACTGAATATAGAGTAGTAAAAAACTATAAATTTAGTTTTAATAATGTATTTGTATAATTAATACATAATTCCACTTAGGAGTACTTACTATCTTAATTATTTAAAGACAAATTTCCACTTTGTAATTTTCCTTTCCTTTGTCTATTTCCAAAAATTCTTTAACTTACCCTGTGTAGTAGACCATAGGCAGGAAAAGAGAGAAAAAGTAAAATATTACACCATTTGTGCTAGTTAGTAACAACTTTAGTAAGAAGTGTAAGGGAAGGAATATTAGAATTGTATCTGAGTTTGTTTTTAATACATGCTTTTCTAAACTGAAAAGGATAATGATTGATTTTGTCTTTCCCCTGTATTAACTAGGAAACACAAATTAAGAATATGTTTTATTTACTAACTTTATAGCTTAAAAATAATTTATTTGTAAAATTTGAGTTCATTTTAATGAAAATCCATCTTTGTATGAGGTCAGTAATTGAAGTGTTGATGAGACAGAGATATTTTCCCATTGTACTACAACAGTAATGAGTGTATTTGTAATCTTTAATTAAACATCACACCACATTCTACTTCCCAAGGTCTAATTCTATCATTTCTGCTAATACACTGTAGTTTATCTTTCAAATCATTTGGGGCCAGTAGAAGGGATAATAAAAAATAAAGAGAAAGACATGAGGTAAATTCCTGCCCATGAAAATAAACCTAATATCAAGTCTCTTTTCATATTCATAATGCTGTATCAGAAATCAACATTAGAAGTGAGATGATAGTTTGCACCCCTGAGAATTACTATGAATTCCAAAATTTTCCTGACTGTTGGTCACAGTTTAATTTTTCTTTATTTCTAGTTGATAATCAATAATAGAAAAGGTTTGTTTCCACATTCACAAAATGAATTATAAGACTTACTGTTAAGAACAGCTATAATTTGGTGGTAGAGAATGACCAGTCAACCAAATGAAAAACAGAAACTAACCAGTTTTCAAAGGATATAAAATGACATTAAAATGTTATGAATTTCTAGAGGCAAACTCCAAACCAGTGAGTGATGACCCTGAATATACAGTATGGCACACTATACTCTTTTGGCATAAACAGATCTCTATGTCATTGAATTTCTGTCTAGAAGTGGCATCTCAAAAGGCCTAAGTCTTCTCATATTAGCAACACATATATGCATGCATACACACGTTCATATGTGTCTACATAACAAACTTCAAAATAAAAAAATGGGTTATATGTAATTCAACATGAGCATCAAATCTCCCTTTTTTTGTTCGGTCAAAATTATTTTTTACTATAATTTGTCCAAAATTACTTTTAATTGTATCTTTATATAAGTGATAATGCTATGTTATTATTGTCAATGATTGTGTGTGGAAGCATTAAATAAAAGTTATTCATAGAATTCACAGAATTTTATATACTGAATTTTGCATAACAAATATCCTCTGAAGTTATTCAGATATATGATATGGTTCATGAATCTAAGCATAAATTTGTTTTTTACTTTCTTTTCTCTCTTACTAATATCTACAGGGTGATAAAGGGCAAGCAGGGCCCACAGGAGAAGTTGGAAGCAGAGGCGCCCCTGGACAAGTGGGGGAAAGTGGTCCTAAAGGTGCCAGAGGGACTAGAGGTGTTGTGGTTAGTATTTGATTTGTTTCCAGAGTTGAGTTCACTGTGAATGGAAAAGAAATGTATCCATGTCCTTAAAGCTTCATCCCTTGATTAATTTTACAGAGAAAGCAATAGCTCCATTGAAAATAATCTACCTCCATGGGATGTGGAGAATTGTAAGCATTCCACAGTACTTAAATGGCTTAGTGGTTTCTGGACATGAAAAAGGAAAGGGGGGAAAAAACTTAAAAATGGAAATGAACTATGAATGAGGTTTTTAAAAGTCAGATTATAACTCCTAAACTAAGTAGGAAAGTTTCTATGCTTTATGCTTAGAATCAGGATTTAATATCTGTGTAAAACTATGTTGTCTTGGTGGTTTACAAATTGCTTTGAAAATTAGGTTTACTTGAAATTGGTTTCTTTTTCCTATATGGGCAGACTCCACATGCTATTTGGAAAATTTTTTTCTAACTGCTGTGATAAGTCTCTGTAATATCTAATAATACTTAATATTTTGCATCAGCTTTTCATGATGTTCAAAACAAGGATAGTATGATACTTCTGAACACATTAAAGCAAAATTATATTGCTAATATATTTGTTCAGAATATCATAACAAGAAAAATACAAAATACTTAAATTATTTTGTCTTCTGGCTGTTTCATAAGGGTATTTATAAAATATATATATATATTTCCTAGTCTCCATTCTAAGTTCACAAATGCTGGATTTTTATCCAAGCCCCTGGGAGAGCATTGCATGATGTGTCATCTGAAGAAGGTTTACCTCTGGTGCATTTGAGTATTCCGTACCTTACTGATAGCTTATTACTCCAGGTCTTTCTTATTCCCTTTTATTTAAATTACTTATGTGTCTCTGTTTTTTTTGACTTATGCATTCGAAAACATATACTGTGGTTAATTTTTAATAGACATGAAATCAAATTTTTCCAAATACAATGCCTTTAAGCTTATAATTTGGATTTTCTCCTTTAAATATATCTACCTTTCAAATTGTAATACATGTCCCCAAACTACCTTCCCAAAAAGTATCACCAAATTATACTTTTTTCCACCAATATTTCATATTAGTCCTTCTGATATTTGCCAATCTGATAAATGAAAGTGTATCTCTTTTTTCTTTCTAGTCACATTTCCCTGATTTTAATTAATTTATACTTTTCCCCCTCTGCAAGTTGCCTGTTCATGTAAACTTATTCTATTAGATTGTTGTCTTACCAATTTGCAGTAACACTTTATGTATTTTGAATATTAACATAATTAAATATATGCAGAATATATTACAAATAGATTTCCCTTTCATTTATATTTTAATTATGTTTATATCTTTTTGCTGTACTTAAGGTTTAATTTTATCAGTCCAATTTGTCAACTTTTACAGTTAGTCCTTGGTTTATTTCTTCATTAGAAATGTAAAAAGTATTCTCCCATATTCTTCTAGTACTTTTATTTTTCTGTTTCTCCTTAAGTGTGTGAGATATATGGAGGATTTTTTGTTTTTGTTATTTTGCTTTTGTAGGGAACTGATTTTTTTTCCCCCAAATTGATAGCCATTTGTTTCAGTATCATTTAGTTTAGTATTTACCATACAATAAACTTTCAAATATTCATTGTTCTGTTTTCATTCTCTGTATTCTTCTCTCAGTGTCACTCTGTTCCTGGGTCAGTAGCATGCTACTTAAATTTCTATACTGTTACAATATCTTTTAGGTCTATTAGGAGAAGTACTCTATAATTCATTGTTCATAAATGTTCAACTTTTAATAATTTCCTCTTTCATGTGAACTTTAGAATCACTTTGTCAAGTTCCTTTAATATGGAATCTGTCTATAAAAAACACCACTGTGTCTTCCCATTTACTCATGTCTTCTAAATATCCTTCATTGAAGTTTTATTATTTCTTTTATCACGGATCTTGTGCCTTTCTTGTTAGATTTATTTTTAGTTTCTTCTGGATTTTATTATTTTTGATGTAATCTTTTTTCTATTGTGTCTTTTCTTTGGTATTCTGTAAGAAAATAATTTTTGTATTTTGACTATACACAGTAAGTGATCATATCTCTTCCTCATATATTTTCCTTATTACATTGATTAGAACTTCTGTTTAATGTGATGTTTGGCTAGTAATGTACCTATTCTATGCCTTAATTTCCTCATCTCCTATTTATTTTGGAACTGAAATATGAGAGTTGATGTGGGAAATATTTTATGAAAATTGAATGTTTTTATCAAGGTAATATTAGTTTATAGTACTGTACATAATTCAGAGGTATTACAGTCACACTTCTTCACATGTGTGTTGCCATACCATACCCACCATCAGGCACCCATAGTCCTCCATTATAGTCCATGGGCCCCCTATTTTTGATAATGTAAGACAGGAATTTTTGGGATTATCATTTTTTCTTTTTTTAATTTTTTAAGTCATCAGTAGGATTGAAGCACTAATAGCCTTTAATTTACATGGTTTCCTTATTGATGATAAGAGTAGTTATAAGGTAATTATTACATAGAAATAGTCAACATTTTTATTTTAAAATTTTGACAGGGCTGAAATAACACTAATTAGAGAATCTAAAACTAACAAGGAGTAATAGAGTTTCCCTTGTTGACAACAACTATCAGGCTTCAAGCTCTAATATTTAGTTATGTGCATATGCCACAAACTTTGTGAAATACAAACTATTTCCAGAATCTGCTAGAAATCTGTGGGATTCTAACAACTTAAAGTATTTCTCTTAATAAGGATTAAGGATGTTCATACTAAAAGTAAAGACAAAATTTGGGGGTGTTATTTTTTTGTCCTCCCATTTCAGATTAGATAGAATTCCATACTGTAAAAAAAAAGTGAAGATAACAATTTAAATTATAAGAGTACAAGTTTAGATTTAAACAATCTTCTGTTTTCTCTCATATTTCTTCTTTTTTTTAGGGTCAGTTAGGATCAATGGGACCTGATGGGGAACCAGGAATCCCAGGATATGGGGTAAGCATTCTTATTGGAAATAAGAGAGTATTATTGGCATGGAAATCTTTATATAAAGATGTCACACCAAATTAATGCAAACTAACATAAAATCTTCCTGGTGAAACTTTCTAACATATTTAAGCTTCATCCCTTTATAGAATAAATGTTATTTATCTCTCAGAGAAATGCATTCTATGTTGGAGTGTGCTTGGGGGTATTAGGTAGAGTATGTAGAGATGGTACAGAGAATGTCTACTTACTTGTCCTTTTGTCAGGGCCATCAAGGTCAACCAGGACTTTCTGGGTTGCCTGGACCCAAAGGCGAGAAGGTGTGTATGCATATTAACTTTTTAATCCTAAAGTTAAATATTGACTTTATTAATTCCTTCTGAAAAAAATTCATGGAAAAATTTTCAAATAATACAATAAGCTCTTTTCAATTAGGGAAGCATTGTAAATTCCAGAAGAAAAAGAAATATCAAGGAGCTAAAATTTAAATACATTTTTAAAACATCTTCCATAGGTTGTCTCAAAACTAAAATGAAGTAATATCTGAAAATGCATTACAATATGTGAAGTTTTGTAAAATTAATTCCTGCTGAAAGAGATTGAGACTCTAGGTGAAATGACTATAGATAGTTATAGTAAAATGTTTTGGTGAATTAAGAATTCAGCTACAATAGTACTCCTCTTGATTTGTAATAACAGTTGAAACTTGACACTGAGAAAATTCCTAAAGTTATCTTATGTAATTAGATTGATATGTCCAAGGAGAATCATATGAGTTATAATTGTGTTTAAAATATCATATGCTTAGGTTTTAAAAAGGTAAAAACAGTTTGTGTGTTGTATAACAGAAAAATATAGGTTCCATATTTTAAGATCTCTATTAATTTTATTAAAAATTTATTAATTTTTTCTATTATCTTCAATATAGGGCTATCCTGGAGAAGATAGCACAGCCCTAGGACCACCAGGGCCTCGAGGTGAACCAGTAGGTCTTTTTCTAAAATTATTTTGATGTTTCAAGATAAATTGCAGTTACTTTAGTAGTTTCACATCAATCATATCTTTTCAGGTCATTTTGTTAATCTTTCAACAAGGTTTTATATAAGAAATTAGTATTTGCAGTCATATAATCTAAATAGGAAATTTATATTCAAGTCAAATTCCTTAGCATAATATATGATAAACTTAATAGAGTACTCCCCAAATATAATTCAGTATCAAAGACAGATAAAAGATTTTTACAGAGATAATCAAAAAATTACATACTTTATACATTTTATGGCTTTAATCATCAAGTTCAGATTTATTTCTAAAATAATTTTAAAAATCTAATCTGTATCTTTTTTATAGTAGTTTACACAGTTACCCAATGATTTCAAAATTTAACCAGTTACTAGAATCAATACTCTTTAAAGATTACTGATCTATATCTATTTTAAACATTCTAAGAATTATCTGTAACCACAGTTTTTCTTAAGACAGCTATTACAACTTTGATTATTTGAATAAAGGTCTGTGTTCAAGCTTGACTAAAACACTCATAAAGAATGTGTGCAAATTAAATGGTTAAAATAAAAATGCTTAATTTGCAAAAATAAATATAACTGATTAAAAGGGAAAAATACAGAAATAGTGTAGAAATGCCAAGCTCAGTGAGAAAAAAAGAATAGGCAAATGGAGCATAAATAGTGCCTGTTTTCCCCTGATTCAGATATGCCAGAATCAAAGAATGTCACTGAAATATAATAAATATATTAAAAGTCTAACATAATAATGGTCATTTCATCTAGTAGACATGAGACAGGCATGAAAATTAAGAAAAAATATGCTAAATTAAAGCAGAGTCAGATAATGTTGTCTTTACATTATGTCTAATAACCTTATCCACATAAGAACAAATTAAGATTTAACAATGAATGCTTCACAGTACATTTCATGGTTTTGCCAATTTATTTTAATTCAAATTTCTGATAGTAAGCCGTAATATGCAGTTATTGGTGTTTCAAGTGTGTTTTAACTAGATAATCTGAACAGTTTATCATATCAAAGATTTTATATTAGAATGTGTAGTAAAAGTTAAAAGTGCAATTTTATTATATTAGTTTCTGTCCTAAGGATTAAAACTAATCAGTGTAGTTTTGTCTTAAAAATTAAAACTTTAACAGAATATATAACAGAATTTGTAATCAAGAATGATAAAGTATGATTAGCTATTAGATACTTTTAAAAGATCATTTAATGTATTCTTCTCTAATGGAATTAAGTAGCTGAATGGTCCTGCTTAAATCTTTTTCACTAAGTGAAAATGCAAATTACTTTGATATCATTTGTAATGTACTATCCTGAAAATTTATAATTTTTAATTGGACTTCATTTCTTCAGTGTTTTCCCTAGAAAAATCATCATAAGATTCTTTTTAAATAGTTTCAATGCTCAGATATTCCGATGACGTTCTTGGTATCATTAACTTTCAGTCCTTTGAAGTTACTCAGGGGAATTAAACATTACGATTGGTTTCACATTTTCAAAAAAAATTACTAATTTTATCATGTGCACTCGTAGATCCTTAGATCAAGCTGTGAAACTGATTACTTTTTCGTAGGGTCCGAGAGGAGAACAAGGAGATAGAGGTGAGCCGGGAACAGAGGGATATAAGGTAACTACTGCAAATTGTACACTTAGCTTCTAAATTTGATTAGTGTTCTCTGTGGCTTTGCTAAGTTTCAAATGAAAATAACCACTATTAGAAATGTTACTAATGTCTTATGTTTTTGATCCTAAAAGTAGCTAAAAGTAGCTTATCTCATATTTTATCTTCCTTTTTTCTAGACTCACTTTCATCTCTTGCCAGTCTTATTTTTTTCTTTACTTTTTGTTTTTTTGCAGCCCCTCAGTGGATAATAAGCCATTCCTACATCCTTAAGTAGCAAAATAATCTTTATCTTAACTCTAAGTTATCAGCAATGTAAAACATCTTTCAGTAAAAACCTCCTTGTCCCTCGGGTCAATGAATTTAGTACCTTTGATTGCAACTAATTACCACTATTTTTAAACAAAAAGTATATAAAGTATGACAGATTTTGCAAAAGATGTTAGCCAGCATGGCAGTGGCTACATCTAAGGAGACTTTGCACATCAATTCTCCCCAATAACTGAGTAATAGAGTCAAAAATATATAGCCTTTTCTGTCACTTCCTTCACTTAACTTAATGTTTCCAGCATTCGTCCATGTTGTAGAATGTATCAGTACTTCCTTTTATATTTTTTTAAAAACATTTATTCACAGATAATCTTAGAATCTTTAGAGAAAACAATGGAGTGTATAATGCAAATTTTGCTTCCATTTGTCTATGAATAATGAAGTTTTGTTTTGTTTTTTTCTCCTCACCATCCTTCCTCCTTTTTTCCTCTTGGGGAAACTAAGAATTGCATTTGTTAAATGTCGTACTCATTGTTATGAATAAATACTTACTAGATGTCATTACACATGACTCAGATATCACATCTAGAAGATGTGATACAGAATAAGTATATTTAATCAGTAAAAAAAGAGACATAATGAATTACAGATGTGATGCAGAAAACCATGTATCACTTAAGTTATGAAGTAAGACATCCAGAGGACCTAACAGGAGTAAGCATACTGTCAACATCAATTTCTGAAATGGATGGTGGTGGTCATCACAGTTCTGAGTTTTGTATTTTGCTTATATGCTCACTTTCACTTCCCTCTGTCAAAGTGACCTAACTAAGTAGTCGTGTTTACTTGCACCAAGCTCCCTCTTACTGACCTGATTCTGTTATTTGCTAACTCTGCTCAGGTTTTGCTGGTAAACCAGGGCCATGTGTGGGAATGGCTTGTTTCCTTGGTGATAGCCATGTGCTACATAAACAGCTTTCCACATGAACCTTTATCTCTTGCCACTATTCACTCCCTTAGATAGGAGTTGTTCTTTTACCAGGAAGTTGAATCTTATAACCATAACATTTACCTCAGAGAATGCAAACCCAGAAGTCCCCAAATGGCCATTCTGTGAGAATACATATTGCTAGCCTAAGTCTGCAATTTCTTCTCCTATCACAGAAAAAGGAAATAGGCCTGATGTCTCTTCTAAGGCATTCTTTCTGTAGTATACAAAAAGAAGGAAGAAAAGAAGCTAAAGTGAAGGGAACAGTAGGTAGGGTGATAAAAGACATCACGGATGGAATTTTTCATGCATAACTCTCACCTGACTTGCCCATGGATTGTTGCTGCTTTCTGTTTACATGCTTGAAAGGGAAATGTGGTAGGTCAGCATTCCTTCTTAGGAGAGCTAGAGTGATGACAGATTGCCATGTGTCAGAGCCACTTGATGTATCTTGGCATAGGCAGTTACTGTTCTCAGCCTTCAGCCCAGTAAACCTGCTCTCCAAACAATTATGAATTTAGCTTGTAAAAATGGAGAGTGTATTACATACACTTCTACAGTGGAAAAAGGTTGAAAAATTAAATTTGTTCTCAAATTCTTTGTTCCTTGGGTTATTTACTGCATTAATTTCCTGAACCTACTGTAATAAATTACCACAAATCGGGTGACTTCCAGCAGCAGCAATTTATTCTCTCATATTTCTGGAGGCCAGAAATCTGAAATCATCTCAGCAGCACCATGCTCTCTCAGTAGGTCCTGGGAGAGAACACTTCCTTGCCTCTTTCAGCATCCACTGGCTAAAAGCATTCCCTGTGGCTTCATTGCCCCTGTCTCTGGCTTTCCCCCTTTGTTGTTTATGTCTGTCTGTCTCTGTGACTTTTGCAAAGACACTAAACTATTTATCAGTAGGTTTACAGCCCATATATCCAAGATAGTCTCACTTTAAGATCCTTAAATTAATGACATCTGCAAAGACCCCTTTTCTTCAACGAGGTCACATTCACAGGCTTTGGGAATGAGGATACAGACATCTTTTGTTGCAGCCTCCATTTAACTCACTCCATTAACTCACATAAAAATAAAAGAAAAGTTTAGGGCCTCCCTGGTGGTGCAGGGGGTTAAGAAGCAGCACTATGAAGCCATCTGCAGCCACTGCAGCACAAGTTCGATTCCCGGCCAGGGAGGTGACCCACATGGTGCAGCAGACCTCTCCTGTCTCGCCCGCTGCTCCCCTCAGCAGTGTATTTCAGTCAGTTGCTTATTCTGTTCCCCACTCTGTCTCTGGTGAATCCTCTCACCCCTACCCCTCTGGCCTATACCCCAGTTCTTGTATGCATAAATAAATAAATCTTAAAAAAAAAAAAAAGACAAGTTCTTCTCGGTCAGTCACCATAATAGCCAGTGTTTCTCGTGTTATACATTATTTCCAAGAAAGAACTATAATCTCTATGCTTTTTAAATTGAATTTTGCAACAGTTTGCTATCATTATAAGTGATATTACCCTCGTCTATAAGTCAGGTGTCTCTCTTTACTAATATCATCGTTTCTTTTCCCAGGGTCATGTGGGTATACCAGGACCAAGAGGTGCCACAGGACAACAAGGACCCCCAGTATGTTTTGAAAGCATTTTTTGTCATCCTAGCATTAAAAAAATATTGATGTGAAAATAACATATTTGTTCTCTGCTTCATATGTAATGTCTGTTTTGGTTCCTCTTAAAGGGTGAGCCAGGTGACCAGGGTGAACAAGGACTAAAAGGAGAAAGGGGATCTGCAGTAAGTTGAAATTGTTCAAGACAATTTGAAATTTATTATTGGTTTGAAAAAACAGAGGCCCAAGGAATTGCAATTAATTGTAGTTTAAATGATCATTCTTCTGTCCAAAGCAAGGATCATTATTAACCTCTAAAGAGAATATCAAAATTGTGTTAAAACATGGTTATTGATTCATTCATGTTTTCAGTGCTACCCAGAGTTCCCTTTATCGATGAACAGCTCTGGCTTTGTGAAAATTGTCTAAGCTTGTTCCAAATTTGTTCTTTCTCCTTGGGGCTTCAAGCAGAAATGCCCTTGTAAAACCAGCTTTACAAAATGAAAACTTATCAGTCAAACCTGCTTAGTTATTGTGGTAAGGAAGAGGTGGAAATCATTAGGGTGACACAAATGCACAATTAGTTTAAAAGTTTTTCTTTTCTAAGACAAGCCAGTTATTCGTTATCAAACAAACTAAAAATCTGTCCCTTACTGAATTTAGCCTTCTCATTCCCTGTGCTCTGATAGATGTTGCCTCAGCATCATCATGTAGCAACTGTCTTTGTAATTTGTACCATCAGTTCTTTGCTGCTCTGCTTTCATGACATTCTGATTTCATGTGCTTTTATTTTTTAAGGGTTTTTTTCTTTTTCTTTCGTTTTTTTTTTTTTTTTTTGCACCCTAGTAGAACTAGGGTGTAGGCCAGAGGAACAGGCAGTGAGAAGATTCACCAGGGACAGAGTAGGGAGCAGAACAGGCAGATTTACTGAAATACACTGCTGAGGGGAGCAGTGGGCAGACAGGAGAGATCTGCTGCACCACATGTGGCCCATATATGTCCCTGGACCAGGATCAAACTCAGGTCATAGTGGTGATAGCTCTGAGACTTAAGCCCTAGGCCCCCAAGGAGACCTTTGTGCTTTTATTTTAAAATTAATTCTCAAGCAAATGTTCTTTTCCAAAACTGAATTCAGTGAGAAAGATAAAAGCAATAAATTTGAGGCCATGTTTCTTCTAAACATTTGTGGGAATAAGAAATAAAATGGAATTGAATCTGGTATCTTACCTACGTATTCCTTCACCTACAAGTCATTGTTCGTAACAGTCTTAATATTTGCCTAGTAACTCTCTGTCAAATTTCTTGACAAATAAGAATCAGTAATTAATAAAACATCCTGAAGGCAATCCTTGATGAGAAAACATGCAGAGAGGGAAGGTAGTTGTCTCTTTACTAAGAATTTTGAAGACTCAAATTGGAAAAATAATAGAAAGAGCTGTAAACCTAGAACTCCATTACTGCTTCCCATGAACTTCCTTATCTTAACGTTGAGTACCTGACAAAGCAAGTGCTCTCCCAAGATTCCATCCTATAATTTTTAATCCTATACAATTAGTATTTTCATAGTTTCATAGTCAGCATTTTCATTGTCTTTTTTATCTCAGGAAGAAGAAATTTGTTGATGTTTATTAGCATTTGTTAAGATTATGCCAATGAGAATCAAATAAATATTCTTTTTTAAAAAATATTTATTTATGCACCCAAGATTATATTACATCATCCAAGATTAATTATATGTCAGATTTTAAAATAGAAATAACTGCTACAAGAGAAACCATTGAATGTGTTACCTATTAGGGACCTCTTCAGTGGCCATGTGGGACCTGCTCAGTTGCTCTCCTCTTGTTTTTTGCAAAGTTTTAAATTGACTTTGGATTTGGAAATGGCCCTCTAAAATCACTTCGACAACCCTCTAATTTTTCAGATGACATGGAAGCCCCAGAGAGATAAGATGTTAACTAGGACACAGAACTAGTTAGCAATAGATCTAACACTAAAAACTTTATTTCCTGTCTCATGCTATTTTATAAAGCCTTCCATTGCCTTGAAATGGTATATAAATTAAGTAAAATTTGAGTAATTATACTTAACCAATTAACATATTCATTTGTCTCTTATTTGAGACTGTGGACTGTGATAAAGATAGAGTACCTTAAAACCAATTGCAGAACCTTAACTTTTTAAAAAGGCTTTTATAATATAAATGGAGGAAGCTATCTTATAATGACTCTCAAAGACTAAAACTCAGGCCAAGATCTATTTTTCTTCCAAAAACAAAATTCCAGACTTCAGTATATTAAAATTTCATGGCTTAAAATAAAGACAGAGAGAGATTGTAATTATTTCTTAACTCTAAGTTTGTTTACATTTTAAAGATAACAGTCATCTAACAAAGTTAAAGCGAACAAAGTACTGAGATAATTATTCTTCAGCTCCATTTAAGTAAATAACTATGGTGTGAGCTGCAGTAGCACCTCAAAAACTGTTAAAAAAAAAAGAATTATATTACCTTGTATAGTCATCTGTCAATTCATCCTAATGATTGGAAACCTGTCTGAATGGATCTTATTTCAATGGGTGAATTTTCAAAGCTAGCCAGACAAGAGAAAGTATAATTTTATAAGCACTCCAGAGACTGCATGTAAAATTCATTTGCCATTCCAACTATGAGAACAGAACAATCTGTTTGCTGATGTATGAGGTACTTAAATTTAAATAAACTAATATGAGTAAGTTTGAAAGTGGCATAGAATGCACTTAGGTTTATTATATATAAATTTTAGGAATTGATTGAAGAGTAACTTTTCAGGGTTTTTTTTTTTTTATGATAACAATCGTCTACTAACATCTTGTATGACAATATATTTTCTCTGTCTTTAGCCCAATCTGTAATTTGCAACTGAACATGCCACCTCTCTGTAGAATTAATGTTTAGTAATCTTTGACTCCTCATCTAGTCATAAGACTTTTCAGCAATTCCAACTTCGAGGTTTTTTAAATGTACAAATTCAGATCTTTATATATTTAAAATTTCCACTATCGATTACAGTTTTCCTAGCTGGTCTCCTTTCTTTCAGTTATGGAGATAATAGATCAAATAAGGAAATCTTTCTGAATGTCCATCTAAAAACAGCAGACATTATAGTTTTATTATTTGTTATATCCATTTATTATTCACTAGATTTTGCCGCAACTGTCCTATTATAAACAGAAAAATGTACTTTAAGGGTCTCCCTGTTGGCTCAAAGGGTTAAGTCGCAACCAATGAAGCAATCCACAGCCACTGCAGCGCCCAAGTTCAATCCCTGGCCAGGGAGCTATCCACATGGTGCAGCAGACCTCTCCTGACTCACCCGCTGCATATACCTGGCTATACCCTCAGCAGTATATTTCAGTCAATCTGCCTGTTCTGCTCCCCACTCTGTCTCTGGTGAATCCTCTCACCCCCCCCCCACACCTCTGGCCTGTACCCCAGTTCTTGTATGCATAAATCTTTTTAAAAAAAGAAAAATGTGCTTTAAAATACTTTTCAGTCATAATTTTCTTTTAGTGTTATTGTGGTGGGAGCTAATGCTCATTAAAGTCTGAATAGCATTTTAGTTTTCATAAATATAAACTTATAGATATAGATTTTTATGGCTCATATCTTTATATTGTATTACTTTTTATTGAAGTAATGTTGGCTTACAAACACTATATAATCTAAGGGTATAGGTTTACAAATTTTCAGATACGTTATCATACCACATTCACCATCAAAGTGCCCATATATCTCCACCAAAGTCCACTGGGTCCCTTTCTGCCTTGCACCCACCCCACTGCACCCCCCTCCCCCCGCCCACAATTCTTTTCCTGAAATTATTCCCAATGATGGTCATGCCAAAATGATTTCTGGGGGCCTCCCTTGTGGTGCAAGGGGTTAAGCACCAAACTGTGAAGCAATCCGTAGCTTCTGTAGCACAAGTTCGATCCTTGGCTGGCCAGGGAGCAACCCACATAGCGAAGCAGACCTCTCCTGTCTCGCCTGCTGCTCCCCTCAGCAGTATGTTTCAGTCAGTCCACCTGTTCTGTTCTGCTCTGTCTGTTCTGTCTCTGGTGAATCCTCTCACCCCCCACACCTCTGGCCCATACCCAGCTCTTATATGCATAAATAAATAAATCTTTTTAAAAAAATGATTTCTGATGCTATGTGAATCAATTTGTTAATTGAATGTTTAAAATAAAGGTTTCACATACATATGTAGTGTATCTGAACCTTAAGCCATAAACGTAGGTATACTAAAAGTGTGTTTGTTCTTTATAATGGAACTTAACATCTGTTCCCATTACCAAATTCAGTCAAGCTTGAATTTTTATCTCTTACAGGAAATGCCCATTTTCTGTAATAGTCTATTTCTTCTTCAAAAGCTTAAGTCACATTTTCAGAAGATGAAATTGTTTATTTAGTTATTGTTGTCAAATTGACTCTTTGGCATAACAGGTTCCCATTTTGATGGAATGATCTTGTTTCTGAGAACTTTTGATGACTTCTGAGAAATATGTCTGGTAATGACAACATGCTGCTTTTTTTTTTTATTTGTGAACTAGGTCACTCTTTTCCACATTTCTCTTTTTAAAATGATTTTCAGATATCATCAGAATCATGGCATGATTTGTGAGAACAAAGTTCCTAACTATCCTGGCAGACCTGTTACTGCTGAATCAATTATGGCTTAAAACATCTCACACATGGAAAAACAAACAGTTCTGTGGCAAAAAAAAAAAAAAAAAAATCTTTGATTCACAAATATATTCTTTTCTGTGCTATCCTTTTTCTGTGCTTCCAGTTGAGCACATTGTAGGCTATTGTTTCTTGTCCCTTACTACACTGCCTCACTAGCAGAAATTTTGACTTTGCACTCCCAGCACATAAAAAGAGCCTATAATACTCAATAAATACTCAGTATTAAACATAATACTCTAATGTTCACTGAATTAAGTACTCAGCCATTTTAATTAGGGAGACAAAAATCCTGCCTGAAAGTAGAACCAATTATTAAATAATTTATTCATTTTCCTCCCAGAAAAATTAATGCCTAGAAAAGTAAAATGGCAATAATACAAAACGTGAGTGCCACCACTTGCTGTAGCACCCAGATGGCAGGGCTTTTTGTCTATGCCTTCAGTTTCACTAAGTTTATCACAGTCAACTGATAACTGTGCTTCCCATTTTTAGGGTCCTCAGGGGAAAAAAGGAGCTCCTGGTCCACCTGGGAAACCTGGGATTCCTGTAAGTAAAAGACCTTTTTCATCTTTCTTGCTTTTTTAAATAAATTTGGCAACTGTATTTAGCAGCAGAAAAGTTTGCAGCCAATTATGACAAGTTTTGAGTAAGTCAGATTGTCTTCCCAAAAAAAAGTAAATAATACCAAAGGAAATAATACCATTGACTCAGAAATGAAGCTTGTTGCTTAAACATAAGTCTCTGCAATAGAAGGATGCACTTTCCTGTGCTGTGAGCCCTCTCCTGGACTCAGGCTACTCTGATTGTTAGCCACTGAGAAGCAGGGAACTTGGAATCTTGTAATGAATGATGGCAAAGTCAGAGATCGCCAAGCATGAATGTAAAGGCATGAACTGGATTATTTATTTCTTTATGATTGACATTTTGTATTTGAAATGTTCAATTACAGAACACCTGCAGAATAAGTATAGTTTGCATGGTTATAATATTTGGAGTCTACACTACAGAGTTAATGTAGTTATTTTAACCAAATAACTACTGAAAGTAAATCCTGACTTGTGTGAAAAGTGTCTAACTGTATTTTTTTACTTTTTTTTGCCTTTAATCTTCACACCCCACTTTTTGACTTTTTAACAGAAGGAAAGTACAGGAACATATCACAAAAGACTACAAAAAGCCACTAATTGAATTTAGAATAAATTTATAGACAGATGACAGGATTATAGAACATAAATATTCATTCTCCCATTTTTAATATGCTAAAATAATGAAATGTTGATAGCAGTTACCATCTATCACTTTGGAGTTAAAATTCAGAAGGACTTGACTTATTTTCTTGACAAATGGAACAGGAAACATTAGAAAAAATTATAATATTTTCATCATAGAACAAAGATTAGTTTACCTTAACTATCAGTTTCCTTCTCTGGCCAGGCAACTATGTGTTGACTAGTTTATTAGCAAAGATTTCCTGTTAGTCTCCCCTAGCCAAGAATTCAGTGCCAGCTTTGTGTAGCCTATATTAGTTCCAAATTTGTTTCTTGAGAAAATAATACAATTAGAAGCTTTGCAGATGGTAAACAACAGGTACCCTAAGCTGACAAGTGCATGTAGCTATATTTTGCCCACAACTAGATAAAGCATAGGCTGACACAATAAGAAATGCCAGAGAAAGTTTGCACAGTAAATTGCTGATTAGTTTAGCATTTTGTTTTGGAAACTTTTAAAGACAATTAACTGATCTGTTGAATACAAATAGTGAACCATTAAGGAATCCAGGAAACAGAAAAATTTATCCTGGAACAGGGTAAAATATAAACATCCACCCCTACTACCTCATAATTATAAAGGTATTTGTCATTTAAACATCTGTACAACACATGTCTATAATACTAGTGATTTTTACTTATTAAGGGACTTCTAGGCCTACCTGGGCCAAAAGGCCTGCAAGGATACCATGGAGCAGATGGTGTTTCAGGAAACCCTGGAAAAGTTGGAATACCAGGAAATCAGGGACTTCCTGTGAGTAGATTGTCTCTTTGCTCTTTATTTCTTATGCATAAATGTCTTCTTGCCAGACCTTAAATATTTCAGCTATCTTTCTTAACCTTGGCATTGGCACAGATTAGTCCAATCATATAACTAATCATTTTTTGAATTATGTTTATGATTTTCAGGAAATGTTAATGGTACATTCACTTAGGTGTGTTATATCTAAATAACTAATATTGTAATAATGTATGCCATTTCACTCATATAAAAACTTATAAATAAGAATATTAAGAAACAAAATTTTAGGGCTACAGAATCTGGCTGTGTTTTGAGTTCACCAAATGTTTTAAGCTACCTTTGGAACCCTTAAACCCTGGCAGTAACTCATGGTTGATTTTGCCAAAAATCATTTCCCTTTATTTTTACATTCCCTGTGTTTTACAAAAATTGAATAGTTTGTGTTCATCTGGTGAAGGTGCATTCATAGATATTATCTTATTTTTATGCAATTTTTTACCTAGTTTATTTGGTTGAAAATTTTGAAATCATTTTTGTCTTCAATTTACCATTTCCGTTTTCCTTTGCAATGTCATTGTAATCCATATATTTTTTGTTAGCCAGGGTTGTGGTTTTACATGAAATATTGGAATAATTAATATTTTGAAGAACCCAGTAAAATTTAGCCTTTATATATGTGTGCTTTTAAAATTTAGCCTTTATATATATATATATATATGTCTGCTTTTTGACTATGTTTACCCACTGATCTGTTTTCCTTTTCTTAAATAATAAATCAATCCTAGTTCCCTATTTAAATGTAGCATGGTGCTGTGTAAACCCAATCTAAAATTAATATTTTTCTTTCACCCTGATGAGATATAGTGATAATTTTTGTAAAAAAAAAAAATAAAAATTGTCACTAGCCAATTTTATTATTTCAGAAATAATTATGTAGCCAGATTCTGTCTGAAAAGATTAATACTTATAAAAAGGCTTCACATGATTTCTGTTTATTTTGGAGGCAATATATGAGAACATTAGGGCATCAGGTTGAAGCCTAGAAAACTTGACAGGCAGGCTGATTATTTTAAATAAAATAGGTATCTTAAAGACTTCTGTCATTTAACATCAGTCTGATTAAAAGACTTATTTGAAATCTGAGTTTAGCAGAATCTCATGGACCATCTCATTTTCATGCACTCTCCAGGCTAAAAATATGTTTTTAAACTGAGATAGTATATATTTTTTTAAAATATAGCAGTAAAACACTTTGGATTGGTCAAAGAGTCTCTATTTTTGTGAATTAAGTCTCACTAGACAGTGATATAGTAAATCTTAACCTATTGCTTTTAATAAGATTTTGAGGGCTGAAAAAAAACCCACATTTCAAAATATATGCTATTTTTTGTTGTTGAACACAAATTCAGTCATGGAGGTGGTATGAATATGGACATGCCCAATGGTTTCTAAAACTAAAAAGTGTATTGTAAATACTAACAACAGCAGATTTAACTAGGAAGAAAAAAATCATTTGTTTTCTGGCTAAGATACTATTAATCCAGATATGAATAATAAAAATCAGGTTCCTACATATATATACATATACATATACATATGTGTATATATATATGTGCATATATATGTGTTTAATAAGAATTTCATATATTTTGTGTGTGGTATATTCATCCATCAGACTCTAGTGACAGGTCAGAGTCATCCATTACTTCTTATGTAGGCTTATTGAAATGATATTGTGACAAACTTTCTGGCAATGAGACACCTGAAAGTCCTCTTAGAAAGGACTGAATTCCATAGAAAACATTGATTTGGACTAAGGAGAAAAAGGACTCCTTCAAGTTGCCATGGAGATTTCCTGATTTTCCACTTATGTTCTGAGTTGAGCATGGCAGATGTTTGTCCCTTCTGTGTATTCCATCTAGGCCATTGATAGTTACTGTATTCATCATTGTGAATACACAACAAGCCCCACATAAGCTTCTAACACTGTGCATTCCTACTGCACTTAATCTAATGCTATGATGATGCTAATTTGAACAATCATGTTTTCATTGCATACCACAGATTATTTAGTGTCCATTTACCTTCAACAAGAAAACTACCTGAGCATTACTTGATTATGAGGAAACCAATCTTAGAATCCCATTTGGGGGGTTAGTTTCCTAGCATCACTTTCACTATCAATTCTGATATCAGAGTATAGCTAAAAACAGGTGGCACACTCAGATGGGGCAATCAAGAAGGGCTTAATAATGGAACAATTTACAGTAGATAGCAGCAGGGCTAAGGGAAATCCAGAAGAGGTTATAAAGCACCCAAAGGCTAGCAACAATCCCTGAACCTGAAGGGGCAAGGGGAAGGACCAATTACCAATTATACCTTAGTTGTTTCTATAGAAGGGAGCCTTTTAATAGGAGTTAAGACATTCAGAGAAGGATTTCATAAATTCCCTGCAACAAAGCAAAGAGAAAGTCAGGGGAGTAAATATTTCAATTTCTTTCTCCTTCTGTCCCCCAATCTCCTGCCAGAATGTCCCATTAGCCAAACTCAACCAATAAGTGTTAATAGGAACCATCTGCCCAGACAAGGAGAACTATTTTATCACTCATATTGTTTACAATAGCCATTCTGTGAAGATGTATGCCAACTATGATGTATTATTTTAAAAATTTCTCCTATAATACACTCCTTTACTACCTATACCAAGAGCAGGCTCCCTCCCTCCTATCCATGCTAGAGGGTAAGTCTGATTCTGAGTCCTGGATCAGGGTGAAGAAGCAGAGACTAGATCTCAAAAGGCAGACGGAAAACATCTAATCATTTCTATATAAGTTCTCATCCTTATTTTTATATAATTAGCATGGAGAGATTAAGTCACTCTATAATCATGTAGCTCTGAAGACAGTATAACTCCATATTCTTTGCTTTTATCAGTATGAAAAATTGTTCCTCAGTAAAGTCCTGTGTGTACTTTTTATTTTTCTATAGCTTGCCTGCATATTTCTACAACTTACTGACATTACCTACCTAAAAACTTGACTATCAGGTTATTAGGTAGATAGTGTCATCTTCATATAATGGCTGATTTGTCTGTCTTTCCTTACATTTCTTTTTCTTTCCATCTAAGTTGACCATGACCTGTAATACTTCTATAAGCAGTAGCAGCAATAGTGAACATCCTTCCACTGCTACAGATCTTGGAGAGAAAACAGGCATCCAGAATTTCTCCATTAAGAATATTTGCCATCTAAGTTCTGAATTTTCCTTGTCCTATTCTATCTCTTTGATTTTCAGTTTCTTTTTTTTTTTTCCCCTTCCCTTATTCCCGGTGGATAGATTGAATTTTCTTTTGTTGGACTAAAAGTTGCCCTATTTATTTATTTATTTGTTTTTTGTGGGTTTTTGTTTGTTTGTTGGTGGCACAACCCATTGATCAATCCCAGTGGAAGTAAGAAGACAAGAGAATCCAGTTGATGCCTGGATTTCATAAGTTCGTAAAGGCCAGATTTCCAAATAATGACATAGATAAGGGGCAGTAAATGGATTGGGAGTGCAAAAGAATCATAAATTTTAAGTGAATGGTGGAAAGAAGGTGTGGAAGAGTCTCTTAGAAGTCAGATTAAGGAAGAAGAGGAGACTGCAGAGGAGAGTCAGATGAAGTACTCAAAATAAAGCATAAAACAGGAGAATGTAATGTCATTGAAAGTTAAAGAATATTTCAAGGAGAAAGTTATAGATTGTACCTAATAATTCTGATTGTGTTGGGCATTTATTAATTTTGTTTCTGTTTATGTCTTCTCAGCATCTCACCCCATTTTTATTTTTAGCTATTCATATGTTTATTTTCTTTTTGAGTCTTGGTGGGAGGTCATCATTCACTACAAAAGTCAGAAATTACCCTCTTCTTACCTTCCATTCCCTCCTTGAAACAAGGATACAGGCCCATGACCTCAGCCTTACTATTCAGTTATATTTACCTGGTCTTTATTTGGGGAGTTAGTGATACACAAAAGCAGAGATGAGGGAGATTCTGTTATGTTAGCAGTGGCAGAAATATGCAGCTGTCAGGGGTAATTGCAAGCATGCTCAGAGCTGAGGTAGTACACACTGTGGAGTTCAAATTATGAATGCTTCACCTCTCTTTATTTCTCCCATTTTCCAAAACCGATGTCCCAGTTTCATTTGTGATTATAAGCTATTCAAGGTCTTTTCAATAAATTTTCTGCTTTTATTATTTAAGCTTGCTTTCTGCTTTCTGGTATTTAAAAATAAGGGTCCTGACTAATACAGATCTAATATGATGAAATTATAAATATTGTATTTTAGTGTATGACGGCATTGGTTATTCTGACAAATAATTGATTTTTTTCAGTGGGAGCAGAAATAGGATTAAAGTGCTGGTGGAGAGTAGATGGTGAGAAAATAAAGATATTCAGACAATTCAATGGAGAATTTTGACTCTAAAGGAGAAAGTAGGGTAATAACTAAAGAAGAAACTGGGGTTAAAACTGTAAGCTACTTTTCAATGAAAGAAACTTGACCATTTTTAAATGCTAGAAGGACCTAGTAGAGATCAAGAGGCTGGGATGAAAACCAAGGAAAGGAGAATCTGAGTATGAATTGGACAACAAAACATGTCTATTTTTGCTCTATTCCTGAATTATTCTACTTCTGATTGAGGGGTCATTTTTATAAAACAGATATGAGCCACTTGTGCCTATATATATGATTAGTACAAAAACGTTATTGATTTTTTGTGAAGAAAGAAATTGAAATGAATTATAATAACATTGGCTACTGTTGCAATACATCTTCTGGGGCTCTGTAGCTGAATAGTATCTGGTATTGCCATTAGGATGCAATTAGATATCAGATCATAAATAATCATCTTCTGCATTTTTAGCATTTTTAAAAATAGGAAAAATTGTACTTGCATACTTAGGATATTAGCATGTCTTAAGTATTGAAGTATTTTGTATCTATCATAATAAAAACAAAATAACTTTCCTTTT